TCTCTCTCTTTATCCACACGCTTGTATCTCGCTCAGATCTTAAGCTATAAAAATTAAGTTAACTAGAAAATATGTTCCAAAATTCAGATTCTCACAAAAATCTCGAAAAACTGCGCAATGAGCAAGAACACCCTAGCCATGCATCGTCAACTATTCAAAGCTCTCGTTATCCAAACCTGCATTCCAATATTTGCTAGCTTTTTACCTACAGTAATCGCATGGTACGCGCCAATTTTTCAGATTAACTTGACATGGTGAGTAGAGAATTTAACTGTTTTAAACTTTTTTTACTCGAAAAATTCAGGTGGAACAACTACATTTGTATCATCGCACTCGCCGCATTTCCATTCATCGACCCTATTGCTGTAATTTGTTTCATTCCGAGCTACAAAAACACAATTCTCGAATGGCTTCGCTTCAAAAAATTTACGTCGACTACAACGCCGTCTACCACAGATGCCGCGTCGACTGTATCCCGAAAACAGACTACAAATAATTCGACAACAAGGAATGAATAACAATTTGATTTTTTCATTTTTATCTTGTCTAACTTTTGGTAATGATTGAGGAATTTTTTATCACAATTTTGATCACATTAGCCCTTCAATGAGTTGAAATTCTGGGACCAGCGTTGGAGGTATAGGGTCGCTACCAGCTGAGCTAAGGTGGCGCAAGCTGCGCGCCAGTTTGCGCGCTGCCGTATGTCCCTCCCCTTATAAAAATGATCCAGAATTTTTCAAGACTTCTGAAAATTTCAGACTATACTGAACAAATATATTAGGTTGGCGGGAAAGTCTTTGTCACTTTTTCAATAGTTTATTTCTCAAAGAAAAAATAACCGAATAATTAATTATATTGTCCATCATTATCAACAACATGTCTCCAACGTTCCCTCAATTTATGGATTCCATTGCGGTAGAATCCAGCCGGGCGTGAGGCAAAGTATTGTTTGAGTGCCGCTTCGACCGCTCCACGGGAATTGAAGCTTCTTCCTTCGAAGGCACGTGTCATATCGCCAAATAACCAATAGTCGGAAGGAGCAAGATCAGGAGAATACGGGGGGTGAGGGAGAACATTCCATCCATATCCCATCAGCTCCTGCTTCACTTG